CGGGCCCGCGGGTGACGTCATGGGGGGGGCTCCTCAGGGGGCGGGGCTTCTCAGCCAGGCGGGGGGAAGGGGTCAGGGTTGGTCGTGCCTGGCCGATCCCGGCTTCTCTGCAAGGAGGGGGAAGCCCTGGAATAGGTGCATTGGGTTTTGCACCCCTCACAGAAGCGCGTGGGGTGCTGCTTCTGCTGCCATGAGGGACCCTGAGTCGGGAGAGGTGGAGGAGCACTGCCCTTTGCGGGGCAGCCCCTCTGGCAATGGTTTCCCGAGGATGCCTGGAGAAGCTTTGGGGGTCCCCGCCCAGCAGCTGTTCTCAACCTCTTTGGAGTCAGGCTCCACCTCCCTAACTGTCTGCAATGTAACGAGGCCCCGATTGAGAATTACTGTTGTAGGGCCTCAAAAACTCCTTATTCCAGCCGTGCCCAACCTTTTTACCGTGTGGGCCAGATGGGCAGTTTTATGTCCGTCCCCAAACCAGACTGGGCTGCTGGGCTTCATCCCACACATGGTGCTGTTGTGGCAGGGCCCCAATCTGGCCATGGAGGGTTGTGCACAGCCTGACCCTGATCTGTCTGCCTGGGAGGGGGCAGGGGAGAGAGGCCTGGTCCTGAGCTGGGGAGGAGGGAAGGCAGAGTGGCCCTGATTGAGAGGTGTTGGGGTAGGAGCAAAGCATTGTGGCCCTGATCTGGTTGGAGGTGGGGAGCAGCCTGGCCTGATTTGGGGGTGCGTCTGGCCAAGATCCTGTTGCACAACAGTGACTAAGGTGGGGCTGGATCTTGCTGCACGGAGCTTCCACCGCTCCCCTGTTGCCAAATTTTCCAACCCATGAGGATCCAGATGCCATGGATCCATAGGCTGAATTTTGCCTGCAGGCCTGTTCAATTATTAAATGGGATTCAGGACTAGTGTAGAAAGGATTAACATGACAACTCATTTGATAAATGACAGAAAGGCTTTATTTACTACAACTATTCACTGTTAAATGAGCCTAAAGCAAAGCAAAGTCCAGTATGTTTAGCTGTAAAAGTGATAGTATCTCACCAATAAAGGCAAAAAGGCGGTCGCAGTCTCATCAGCTTCTCAAGATGTGCATCTGTTCACCAGAAGATCAGCTGGGTCCAGTAGCTGTTTTTGTCAGAATGATTTCACATTCTTAAAGTGCACCCTGTTAACTGCTTCATTCCTCTTTTACACCCTTTAGCCCAACATCTTCAAAGCCTTTTTGTAGCTGTGTAAATCAAGAGAGAAACACAAGCAACATTTAAGAGGAAAATCCTGTTAGTCAAACTGTTCATTAT